GTATTGTATTTAACTCTCGAACGAACCACATATATATATATATATATATATATATATATATATATATATATGATCAATGATCCGTTTTGATTCACCGTCGTAAAGCAGAATAATTATTCGCCCAGTGAGTTGATTACCCGACCGCCCGACTCTTTCGACATCGAACCACCTGGATCCTAGATTATTACTATCCGTGAATCGAATCAGAACACGCATGACTCCGATAGAATCCTCTCTTTCTCTCTCTCCCTCTCACTCTCTCACTCTATCTCTCTCTTTCTGTTTTATTCCTTGTCCCTTTAGCTCTACTTCTACCTCTACTACCTCTCTGTTGCTCTGTTGCTCGGTTGCTCTGTTGCTCTGTTTCCTCGTGATCCTACGTTAAATTATCTCTTCCGCAGTCCTATACTCCGTCGTAAGATATATTCTGTACCGTGTCCTTTGCGCACGGCAAGAGATCCAACTTTCGTTTCGTTCCTTTGAAATTTCAATTGGTCAACGATTACCGCACAGTAGGTTCATTTGAATATTACTTGGGAAAGGGTAGTCTGTGTAACGAACGCTTTGCAATCGTACGAGTCGAGATAAGATTTGAAAACCGCCGAACTTGTTTCCGTTGGACGATTGGAGAGAGGGGTTCACTGGGAGGGAGGGAAACGAGAAGAGCTTGAAAGCGAAAAGATAGATTCGTATTTGACAAAGATCGATTGCGTTTCAGGTAACATGGAAGTTGCACGGACGGATAGTTACGGCGTTGTCGCGGGTTACGCTGCGGGCGTGGTACTGATTGCACTGATCGTATGCCTCTTTTATCACCGTAAACTAAAGAGACGAGTTCAGACGGTACACCTCGACGACCTGCGTCAACGCGTAGACACCACTCACGGATGTTACCATCGCGAGAATCTCCTTCATCGTCATCACCATCATCACCAACATCTTCATCGCCATTACCAACATCAGCATCAACATCAGCATCAGTTTCCCCATCATAATAATAACCATGATCATAGTCATAACCATAGCCATCATCATTACGATTATGCTCAACATTCCGATCAGCATCAGCATCACCTTCACCAGCAACAGCATCGACAACAGCAGCAGCAGCAGCAGCAGCAGCAGCAGCAGCAGCAGCAGCAAGAACAAGAACAGGAGCAAGAACAGAAGCATTATCATTGTCATCGACAGCAGCAGACTCGGAATCACAAGGATGGTATTCAAAGTCCGAGATACCGTTTGGTCGGGTCTGCGAGTCCAACGAGCGATTGCGAAGCAGAACAAATCTGTGCCGAACAGGCGAGTAGTAGCCAGGACAGTGTGTGAAACTTACCTTTCGAACGATCGAACTCGTTCCTCTCTGTCTTTCGATCGACCGGTGGAACGGTAGCATATCTCTCCGCGAAAATAAGAGGTGTGTATCCTGAGCTAGAGAGGGAGATCGCAAACATGTATTTGCCTCTGTTCGAAATACACATATTTTAAGCAACGATCCGTTAAATTAGGTGTGCGTCAAACCGCAGGGTGACTTCATCCATCGCGAGTTTCCTCGAAACAACAAAACGGGCCGAGCGTCGCGAAATTCGTTTGATCGTTCGGTTCCGTCGAAAAGACCGCGAGAGATTTTTACGCCGATGGATTTCTTTGGCTTTTAATAATCGTTTCGACGACCGTTACGAATATAAATATGTAACAGCGACCGCGACCGCGATCACGCGATATTTTCATAGGCTCGAGATTGTCGTTAGCCGTTCTATGGAATAAAGAAGATCGATAGAGGAGAAGAACCAACGGTGCGAGAGCAAATTAGCGCGAAAGATCGTGCACGGATGTCGTAGAAAGGTATCTCGCGCGCTGTTTCCCTTTTAATAACTCTCTCAAAGCTGAATACGCGATAGAGAAGAAGAAGAACAGAGCGTTACGCGCGACACGCGCGACACGCGCGACACGCTCACAGGCATGAAATTTTGCTCGGTGAGTCTCTTCGAGAACTCGACGAGAGATGCTGTTTCCAGACCATATTCTTTACAGTGTATACAAAACGTTTTATTTTACAATGGGATATAAAAGAATACAAATCGTTGCGGTTAATAAGAGAGTATGGTTCGTTATAAAATTCTTTTCATATCCTTTCGATTCGATTCTGTGGAAGAGAAGATGTGTACGCGTGCGAGTGCGCGTGTAACGACCACTCGAAACGAGTATACACGTTTTAGTTTTATCGCGATAGCATCGCTGCATCGATTTATCGCGCGCAAGTTACTTGGATCAAGATTCGACGTTGCGTAACTGTTAACCGTTCGTGAATTTATACTTGACAATTGCTTGACCGGAAAACGGAAGATGCGGAGAGAAGGAAAGGGGGGCGGGCGGGCTTTCGGGCAGGATACAAGAGAAAAGAGGAAATCGGAAAAGAAATAAACTATAACGTACAATCGCTACGCTGATACGAATAAATATGGTTCGGTGTATAGATCTCTTTGAAACTGCGGTATCGCGCAACTGAATCGTTGCCGTTCGCGACACCGTTATTCTCGATTAAATGCGCAACTCCGGTTTGCCTCGCGAACGGAGCCGTTTGCATTATACATATAAATACGCGTTTAGTATAAAACTAGCAAGATACGAGATATCGCGCATTATGTTCAACCGTAGAGAATTTGATTGAAAAGGAAAAGGCGGAAAACATACCTATGCTCGGGGTAGATACATCTGGTAGGATTATCGCAGGTTGTTTTCGTCAGTCTTACATTGGAGAAAGTTAACGGTGTGAAAACGTACACTCTCGGCTTTTTCTGGTTGAATCGAGGCGAGGGCTCGAATAAAGAACGAAGAAGGAAGAAGGAAGAGGGAAGAGGGAAGAGGGAAGAGGGAAGAGGGAAGAGGGAAGAGAAAAAAGAAAAAAGAAAAAAGAAAAAGGGGAAGATTATCTAAGGAGCGACGTGGTCGGGATTAGACTTGGACGTATTGTTCGTCGTCGGTGTCTCCGTTGCTGATCGGTTCCGTGGAATGATGCAGTTGAATCCTCTCGTAATCGGCGCTGTACAAGCGTTTCTTCACCTGTTCGTACCCGTCTAGATTCGGATCGGACTGAAATCCGTGGACTTGCTCGTAGGGTGGTTCGTCGGTCCGGGCGACGGTCATGTACTTGACGCTCTCGTAATTGGGATCGCCGTGATTCACGGACTCGTAGTTGGGATCGGTGTCGCTGTCGCCCGGACGGCAAACCGACGCGTAATTCGGCTCTCCCGAGTCGTGCGGCATGCTCTCGTAATTTGGCTCGGAGTCGGTATCGTGGTCCGTGTCGATCCTTCTGCGCAGCCTGACCTTCTCGTAGCCCGGATCCTCGCTGCTGGCGTTGCTCGCCTGCCTGTGCTTCAGCGGAAGCGCCGCCGCGTTGTAGCTGCTCGACAAGTCCACGGTATGCCGCGGCCCGGGCAGGGCGTAGTTACCGACCACGCTTTCCGCGAAGGAATGCTGCCGAGTCCGAAACGACTCGTAATTCGGATCGCGAACCAGCGCCGATCGGTTCGCCGGATTCTTTTTCGAAGGATCGGAAGCGACCGCCTCGTAACCGTAGTCGAGACTGAACTGCGGCTCCTTCGACGAATACGGATAGGAATCGGCCGTGTTTTCGCCGTCCAGTTTGATCGGTTTCGACGAAGCGTCCGCTTCCGCGTGAACGTTACTTCCCGTCGATTTGTTCGACAGAAAGGAGCAGCCGGGAAAATCGAGCTCCTTTCTCTGCGCTTCCATAGAATCGTGACTGGACCAAGAACTTCTCTTCGTTTCGACCGCATTCGTTTTTCTAACTACCGCGTCCGCGACCGTCCCCCCCGTAATCATATTTGCATTCGCGTTCGCGGTCGCGGTCGCGTTCGTGTTCGCATTCGCATTTGTATTCGTCGTTGTATTTTTCATTTTATTCGCATTGGCGTTCGTATTCGCAACGGTGTCCATGTTTGCGGCTGTGCCTGCGTTGGCACAGGTACACGCGCATACGGCCGTACTCGCGTCCGAGATCGCAACCGTGGCTGCGATCGTGCCCGTGTCCATGCCCCCCGAGCCCGCTAACCCGGCAGCGGCAATAGCGGCAGAGGCTGGGACGCTAACGACGTCTTGGTGTAAACCGGCAACGAAAGAACTCGGCTGCGCGTCGTTTTGCTCGTCCGCCTCTTTCTTCTTTTTCATCACTTTCGCGTACATATCCTCCAAGGATTTCCCATTTAGCAGAGTCGATTTCAAACAACGGTCCTCGGTCTTGCTGCTGGTGGCTCTCTTGTCGATCGAGGCGTACATATCCATCGTTCCTTCCGGCGGAGGTGGCAACGGAGAGTTGGCTTGACGTTTCTCCGGCTTGGGCGAACCAGGATTTACGATGGAACTGTTTGCGCTCGAGGACGAAGCTACGACCAATGCGAGACGATCGCGTGAATATTTCGAACTAGGAAACCGTGTAAGTCAAAGTTACTTTCGAGCCACAATAACGCGACTCGTTCGAAGGTTGCTTGAGCGAACAACAACGACAACGACAACAAATCGGTTTACCTTGCCTGGAGTGTGCGTGCGCCACGTGACGCAAGCTATCCACGCTCGGCGGTTGAGGAGCAGCGGGTTGCGTTTCGTCGGAACGAGAAGGAGTTCGCGGAAACGAGGACGACGAGGACGGTTCCATTTGCGTGGTTCGTTGCGTCTCCGTAGCTGTCGGTTGTATCTGAGCGTACGTTTCGCTCCCGCTGGTGTACACTTTGTCCTGTTCGTCGATCGCAGCATACATTTCGTCTGGATTAAGCGAATGCAAAATATTAAGCGTATCTCGTAACGGACAAGAGAGAGAGAGAGAGAGAGAGTGATAGTAACGCGGGGGAATTGAGCGTACCCGAGTCATCCGATACGGTCGCGTAATGAGGATCCGTCAACGGTCGTCCCGACTGACTCTGACGACAGATCGTCTTCGTCTGCGCGATTATGTTGGCGAGCGGCTCTCTGACGCTTATACTGGTGTATCCTTCTACGACAAGACGTAGATTATTATTAGCGTTCAAGATTGGATTTTCAACGGGCATTGTTCACTTACTCGAGTCTTGAGAATCGCCGCTAAAGTGTTGCTGCGGACTAGTCGGTTGAGCTTGAGGTTGTCCCGATCGAGACACCTGCAGCTGTGTCTGCGACTGCGGCTGCGATTGCGACTGGGACGATTGCGATTGCGATTGCGACTGCGATTGCGACTGCGACTGCGAATGCGACTGAGTCACCGGTAACAGCATTAAAAGCGGCGGCGTCATGTACGGTAATTCTTGATTCGCTTGCACCCCACCCGAGATCGCGTTTGCCGCTTGAATTTCGTTGCTGCGAGAACCGATGATGTCGTCGGAGAGGAGCGAATTGTGCGAGGACGTCCGTCGAGTTCTAGGCGGAGCAATCGGATTCGCGCTGCCAACTTGACTCGTCGATGCGCTCGATTTCTTGGTGTCGATCGTTGACGGAACATTGCCTCTGCAACGTGCGCAACCATTTCAACGACGCGTCGACGCAACGCGTAAACAATTTTCGGACAAATTCTTCGTTATGTCGAATGCTCGACGTAACGTCGTCGTTACCTATTCAACTGACTAGTCTCGGTCTTCTGAACGTCTTGAAGTTGAGCGTAAGGGTGCTCGACTGGAACGAACGCAAAAGACACTTAAGAACATAATGCACACGCGGAAGCTTGCCTATTCTGTAATCGTACCATTGTCCGAACCAACGGATACAAATCTCGAGTACTGACGAATAGAGTTCTCTCTGGTCGAACAGTTTTGTTGCAAAGCTTCTTGAGTTTGCTGTTCGGCGGCCTCTTCCTCCAATCCTGTATCCGATACGATAAAGCGACAGTTAACGAGACACGGATCAGAGAATAAGGACTTATCCGTTGAAATTACCTGCGTCCTGTACGGTGACGTACAACTCCGAATGATCGGCAATCGTTTCGGTGGTCTCGTAGATGTCTTGAGACTCCGATTCGACCATGTCCTCGTGTCTCTTATCTTTTGGTATATCCGGAAGACTTCTGTTCGCGCCGATTGTCCTGTGCGTAACCGAGTGGTGAATAAGTATCAATTTCGAATCGAACGACGCGTCATGGAACACGACGCGATCTTACGGCAAACGAAAAGAGAAAACCTTTTTCCGCCGGCAGTCTCGGTAACATCTTGCGTGGCTGCTGTGCGGCTCGAGGCGTCGTTTATCGGGATTCCAGCAAAATTCTCGTTCTCCGGACTGTTCAGCGTTACCATACCCGCCAGGCCAAGAAATTCGTTTCTGCCCGAAAAACAAGTTCCACGCGTATGAACTTAAACATTTTCAAAGGTATAGGATCGATAACGATAATTACTTGGTGTCGCTGCGCCGACAGCTACAAATGCAAGCGACCAGAAAGCCGAGAAACGACAGTAAAGCTCCAACGGATATCACCCAGTAACACCAGGCATCTTCATCCGAAAAAGGACGTATCATGTTACGTTGTAGTTTCCCTCGTTCCTTCTGTAAAACAGAAATTTTAGAAGTGATCCAAGCGTGGATTAAACGATCAAGATTACCTACAAATTAAGTCATGCTTCTGTACGGACAACTGGTAATACGATATTCTTGCTGGAACCACGTACGCGCTTAATTTTTCCATATAGCGATACTTGTTCCCTGTCATTAGAGGAAAGCTAATCGGATCTCGAATCTACCGCGTACGTACAACAACAATCTTGGATCGCACCTGAAAAATCCAATTTCATTCTGTCCTTGTTACTTTGCTCTCGCTTGCCAGAGAATTCTCTCGCGTGCTTTCGTTACATTTTAAACGATCGAAACGTCGTTGAAATACATCTCTGAGAGAACCACGAATCCGATTCGCAACGTCCGTTGCGACGTTTAGCTAGCCGAGAACGCGTGGCACCATCGGAGAGCAGACATTTCGCATTGTTTTCCGTGTAGAAGCGGTTTTCGAGGAATGCCTTGATCGCCGATACGGAAAACTATATCGTCGAGAGAGCCGGAGACGTTGCGCTCGAGAAAATGCCAATCGCACTCTGTGCGCGCACTGTCGTCGGAGTTTCGTAAGAATCCTATTGAAAACTGCAAAAGGTCTTTTTCTTCGCGTAAAAACGCGTAGCTGGTGTTGCGTGTATTACCGTGAAAATACACCGCACATTCTAGTATATGACATATCACGATCGGGAAATTAGGTTATCCGTGCACATCTCGAACGTTACTAACTGTGTCTATTGGCCAGCATTGCCAATCGACGCGCACAATCGATGGTCTAATTCCAGGGGTGTCAAACTAGGAGTTCGCAAGTTAACTAGAGCGACGCTAGTAACCCCTATAACCTCTGCTCGACGAGCTCTGCCGATAGATGGAAATAGCTATGGAGAGGGGAGTGTCGCTAGAATGGCCATCCAGCGACGACTAATTTTTCTCAAAAAATATTTATTCGTCTATTTATTCGTCATTCTTGCTGCTGAGAAATCAACGAGGATCGAATTTCTTTAATAATAGACTCGATACACGTCATACTTTTATCGTTCAAATATATATATACACCAAACGCATCGCGATTGTCGTTAAAACTTAAACTCGAGTAAATATACATGTAAAAAAGTTTGATTATCACTGAGAAACCTAAAATTCTGAATTATCGATAACGTAGAGGTCGCCTAGAGACCTAGAGAAATTACGCGACACGCAACGTACCCGTATCTCGAGTCTGTGTCGTTAATGGCCAATTAGTACGCGGTACTGCCGCCTCTTGGTTAAACGACGCAACGACACCGCGGCGGAATTTGAAATCCAGGAAATTTGAAAAGGTCGGGCGGCGAGGCGCGTTAATGACACCGAGAAGAGAGAAAGGTTCGTTCGAGGGGCAAACCCTGAGGAAATATTTGCACCGTGTATTATCACGGTCGCGACGAATTTCTAACGAAAACATAAAAGTGATAAAAAGTGGATCGCATGTTTCCCGAGCCGATTATATTCGCGATACAGAGGACGCGTGCGTGAGTATTTATGTACCGTATATTTTGTATGCGCGTGTTTCTAGGTAGGTATATGTATACGCTTGTAATAAAAACGTTTTTCGTTAGAAGGTGTTGGTTAGAGTGTCGGAAGAAGAGACGCGTTTCTTCTCGATTGGTACACGACACGTCGCTAGAGCTGAACGGGTGTGTTCAGGAACGAACCGAGCTAAACGAATGTAACGAAGTAATCTTGTAACGTTCGTTCGGTCGTCGTATCGTGGATAGGAAAACTCGTGTTCGGAACTGCTCGGACCCCGAGAGCATTTGAGAAGGTGAGCGCGGTAGCGGATTCAAACGAAAAGAATTATCTATCGCATTTGGTGTCTGTGGGACAGGAAACGTAGAGAGGTATCGCGGCAGCGTCGCAATATCCGTAAAACTGTTGGGATTGCGGGATCGACTGTGGCGGCTGTTGCTGCGCGGACGAGGTCAGAAGGGTGTGCATCAGATGCATCGGCTGCACGAACGGCATCATCTGTATCGGCGGAGTCGATATCGAGGCCGGAAGCGGCGGCGGCGGCACGCCGTTGCCCCGATCCAAGGTGGATCCGTTGTAGGAGCCGAGATACAGGTCGTGGTTGATTTTCCCGGAATAAGCGCTGCCCGGTCTGATCATCGAAGCGTCCTGAATACTGGCCGCGGCCATCCTCGCGTCGTCCGTCCGATTGGACCATCTCAGGCGACAGATACAGACGACGATCACGATGGT